AGGGATCTCTGTAGTACCAACTCCTGGGGTGATTTCTTCCCATCAAAGGCAGCTGCATGGTGATTGTGCATTGCAGCACAGTAAATCAGACCAAACTCAAACGCTCGAGGACTTCTTTTCAAGTCAAAGCCCTGCGCTCGTAGATCCAACCTCACCGTGCTGAATAACTCCTTGAGTGTTCTCACTGCCCTTTCCACACCACCAACCGCTTCATGTCCCTGCGGAGGTGCTCTTTGGGTCACAATCCTAATCCCCAGATTGGCTCTCTTGATGAGGGCGCTCACCGCTGTCTCGCTGTCTGTCCTCAACAGTACAGCAGACCCTGCAATGTCCAGTCCGAAAGCATTCATCCAATAACGAATCCAGCTGGAGGTATTGTCAGCATTGGTCCCTACCAACAGACATCCAATCATTCTGGTTGACATTTCAGTCATGACCAGTACTTTCATGTTGGGAGCCGTCGGCTGGTCTTTCGCAAAAGTACCAGTTACCAGGTTGATGAAGCAGAAATCTGCTTGCAACGCCACGGGTCGGTCTTGAGCATCCTTGGTCCGACGATGCTGGGTTGTTCCTCTTGTCATCCGACAATGAGGACATTCGGACGAAAAAGGAATGTGGCCTCGCATCCGATGCAGCTCCATTTCTTCTTGCTTTTTCTTGGTCATTGACTGCACTGACTGCATCTGATCAACCTCCATCGGTCGTTGGCCATCATCCACATCCATGGGTCGAACCTCAGTTCTTCCAAAGGTTACTTTCTTTCGCTTTCCAGCATCACCTTGCAGGTAGATCCAAGGACATCCAGCCCAGGATACTCCATATCCCATGACTCCTTTCTTCTCGTGTCGCAGCGAAATCTCTCTTCGAGTGAACTTCACTTCCCAACCAGTATTCACCATCTGCTCGGTGCTCAAGATGTTGTGAGCCACATCTGCTACAACTCCAGTCACACACACCGATGTCAAACCAAGATACTGCTTTCCTTCATACATAGGAAGCAAGGCTCGGATGCGAACTCGCTCGAAGACATTCACCGGGGTATCGTTGGCTGCTGAGTACCTCTCATTAGGTCCCAACGCCTTCCGATCCAAGATCTGGAACTCATCCAAGTATCTTTTCGCAATCACAGTCACCGATGCTCCTGAGTCAATCAACCACCATTTGCTTGCATCATCCTTTTCCATGCTTTTGACTTGATTCATCGGAGGTTTCATCAAAGACCGAACTGACTTAGATGGCAACATCTGAGATAAATCGGTAGAGATCCGATGCTCCAACTCGGCAATCCGGACTCTCGTCTCAACTTCCCATGACCAATCTATCTCATCAGTACTCCGGGGAATCCACTCTTTTCTCACTTCATCGAGCAATCCTTCCAGAGGTTGCAACACAGATTCCACTCGGGCCTCTGACTCAGGTTCATTCCATTCACCTCCAGTTAGCTGGTAGTCACTCGACTCACCCTCTTGGGAGACTTCAGCAACTGTCTTCCCCTTTCCTTTGCCTTTTCCTTTGGGCTTTCCCTTTTCGGGCTTCTTCTTGGGATCTCCTTTTGCCTTGGCTTTCGCCTTAGCATTGGGGGAATTGGGCTTCTTGCCTGAATCTCCCTCCTTATACCAGCAATCGCGGGCATAATGTCCCTTTCCACCACACACATAGCACTCCACATCCTTCTTGTTCTGGCTTGAAGCTCGTTTGCCAGCACCTTTGCTTGATTCGCGCTTGCCTTTCTGTTCCTTTCCTTTGCCTTTTGGTTTTCCTTCGTTGCCCTTTCCCTCATTGGGATCTCGAAAAGGTTGAAGCTTCGTGCCAGGGGCTTCTGACCACACCCTTTGTTGCACCTCAAACTTCAGAGCAACTCTTTTCAGATCTTCAAACGATTCACTATCGCCATGCAACAAGCAATGGCTTCTACACCGATCTGGCAAACTGCGCAGCAAAACCATAACCGAATCCGCTTCTTGGATCTGCAAACCACCAGCATGCACATCGGGATCAAGACTATTGAGCAGCTTGGTGTACTTGTTCAACTCATGCTCAATCTTTCGAATGATCTCCGGAATACTGGGTGCTTTCACGGTTTGATTCACCAGCTGCGACCGAAAGAACAGGCATTCAGCTCGCGACTTCAGGCAAAACTCCTTCGCCAGCAATCTCAAAGCCACAAAACCAGATTGTTGATAAGTGCTCTCACTTTCAACATATGTCTGCAAAATCAGAGAACTCTTCTCATGATTTGCAAAAGTCTGTCGCAGGATGTGCATCAGCCTCGTCGACCTCTTCTGTTGCTCCACAGTAAGTCGATCCTGTTTCAGCCGAGACTCTTCTTGAGTCTTCACCGCATGCATGAGCTCATTGGGAAACACTTCTGAACCCAAACCAACCCAACTGGTCAGCTTCTCCATCCAGGTCAAGAATCCAAGAGCTTCAGAGATGCGATCCTTCCAAGACGAAAAGTCAATGGTCGGCAAACTGGGCAACCATTTGTCCGATCGAGCAAACACATCCCTTTCCCTTTCTTGCTCCAGAGGTGGAGGTCTCAGTGGGGGACTTGGGCTCGCCATCCGAAAAAGCTGGGTCCCCTTCGCAGGAGTACCCACTGGCGATGCACCTTGACATCCCGAAGAAGAACTGGGCATGTTCTCAGGAACACCATCCTGAGGTAAGGGGGGATTCACCTGTTGCTGTTGCTGTGGCTGCTGTTGCTGATGCTGCTGTATCATCCACTGCTGATGCTGCTGCTGTTGCTGCACCATGGACGAAGTCATCGTTTGCATAAACTGCTGTTGCTGCACAACCAGTTGCTGCATCATGCTTTCCAATTCTCGCACTTGTCTCGTCAACCCTTGCACGTCGGGTGATGTTTGTGATGGTGTCACCACAGGTTGAGGAGGTCCAGTGGATAGTCCTGGTGGTAACGAAGGACTTCCTACCGCTTGCTGAGGCAAACCAGGGGGAAACGAAGGGCCTCCCATTGTCTGTTGGGGTGCTCCAGTAGCTACCCCATGAGGGCTTCTGGCGGGAGTTCGACCTCTGGGCACTGGGCCATACACAGGTTGGCTTCCTTGTGCCAAACCTTGCACCCACAGTGGGTTGGGATTTCCCAAACCCGGAAAAGGGTCTACCCTTCGCCTTGTCTCAGCATCCATGATGGGCACAGAGCTTCCACGCTCTCGTCCACCTCTTGGACTCCTCACATGAGCTCCACTGGTATGTCGTGGGGATGTATTCAACATAGTTCCTGAACTCAGGCTCCAGCCTGCAGTCTCTCCACAACGTCTTCTGGCGAAAATTCTCTCACCAACACCAGATGGTCCAGGCTCCTGAAGAACCTTAGTTCTACTCTACCAAGCACCGTATTCCTCCAAGATCGGTCACAACCAATCCAGTTCCAGACAAACCACCTTGCCCGGGCTCCAAAGTGCCTCAACAGCCGCTGAACCAACTGCTTCCAAGCCTGATGAGTCCGGATCCGCCTCCTCACAGGGTAGGCTTCCCGGTACTCACTTACACGGTCCGAGTACAAGAGATTCCGGTCCACTGGCAATCCGGGCTCTAAACCCAAACTTGCCTCCAGGCACTCACAGAGTCCTAACAAACAACCCAAGACCATACAGGGCTCGTACCACAAGGCACAAGCTCCGCTACCACGTAAAACCGAAGGCCCTCTGGTACCTTTTCCCTTGAAAGCACGAACTCTGACCTCTCACACAAGTGCGGACAACTCTCTCTTTTTCACAGTCAGAGCCACTTGAGCCTTAAGCGAAAAGTCACGAAGTGCACAGACTAAACGAATTCTCTCTTGTGAGCTTAAACTCAGCTTCAGAACGAACAGTTCCTACACACTGCACACTCACTTTAAATAGCGTATTGGGCAAGCATAAACCATCAAGGATGGGATCACACGGATTCTCAATCACTTCAAAGCAAAACAAACCTACAAGCTGATCCAAAACATGACGAAAACATCACTGATCAGCCACAATCTTCCACAATCTTCTCTAGTGTTGCTGTAATTCCAGTTGCAATGTCTTGTGGGCGCACGATGGAATTTTTCGTCGGGCAACCTAAAGCCATCTGCTTTCCGTTGGCCATTGCAGAAATCCACTACTAACAATCTAAAGCAAAAAATCGCTTGTTATTGGCGGTTGAGACAAGCTTGGTGCACGCACACGTGGCAAGTACCAACTTGCCTTCTCTTCTATTTGCCTTCCATGCTCTTCCACTTGTTGCTTTGCCACTTTCTTTCGCTCCAGCTTTGATCTTTTTCCTTTCCCTCTGGAAATTTGCTGCTGCCATTCTTTCTTGCCTCGTACTTGTTCTTCTTTTTCCTTTCCACACTTGCCTTTCTTGCTTTGCTCCACAAATCACCTGCCTAAACTTTATCAACTTCCATTAACGTGGTGGTTGATCCCATTTGAATCTGGACTTGGGATCTTAACGGCCTTCAAAGCCATTCACCATAGTGGCAGAACCAGGTTCTCAAAGAAGCTGCTTTCTGACAAAGCCTCGTAGCTGTTGTTGACTTCCATTGTAGGCTGTCAGCTGCTTGTGCATACGTTGTCCTTCTCGACAGCTGGCGAACTATTGAGTGACCTGGCCCATTCCTGGCCGGGGCTTTCAGACCCCAACCCTTGAGCATCATGAGCATCGGCTGGCGCTGGCCCGGGCTTTCAGACCCAAACCCTCGAGCATCATGAGCATCAGCTGGCGCTGGCCCGGGCTTGCAGATCCAAACCCTCGAGCATCATGAGCATCAGCAGCAAAAACAGGGTTGAGGAAAGCTTATTTTTCCATTGTTACAGCACGCTGTAAGAGGAGCGCTTTCAACGAGTGCCACTGCACACAGAACTCCAAGTGTGGTCCAGCGGTGACAGCGAGAGCTGAAAACGAGTGTCGAGAGGTTTAAATCAACATGACTGAGATCGACTTTTTCCCAGAACCTTTTCCGTAATGATGGTAACAGCCAAAGAGGAGAAGACCGGAGTGGTTTGGAATGGATGCTGAGTGGACAATCTGGAGCCTACCCTGGCGGCATCCAAGCGGAGATTGCGAGAGTGCAGGTAGAGGAGGTGTACGGTGGTTGTAGACTCCGGTCCGGAGCAGACGTATCGGTGGCTCCTTTGAAGTTCAAGAAGCATGGGGAGAAGGCCAACTCAGGGCTTTTGCTCCAGGATGCACAGAGCAATGCAATCGTGGAGCAGGCCGCAGGCCTGTCGTGTTCTTGTTTTCTGAGGGGAACCAGTGACGATTCGAGAGAAATGCTTATCAAAGCGGCTGGTGTCTTGGAAGTGAAACTGAAGGACCGACCATCGCTAGGGGTCGCCAAGCCGATCAAGTCAAGGAAATTCCCTTGGAACCGTCAGTTTGGAGCAGTCAGGATTGGAGTTGGCTGTCTTTGTCAGAAAGGAGGAAGCAGTTCGTCTTCCGCAGCCAGGCGATGTGTGGGTCCACCTGTAGTCAAGCATGCGTCCTGGGGAGAAGCCGACAGTCGCCCCATAAAGCAGTCAGCCTCGAAGCAGGGGAAGAAGAGGTAAAGGAGGACGCAAAAGAGCTCAGGCCAGTGATCCAGATCGATTACTGCTGCACCTTCGCAAAGGAGAGAGGAGAGCAGCAGCTTGAGGAGGTTGAACAAGGAGATGAGAACCAGAAGATGGCAAAGGATGAGCTTGACTATCGGGACGTGTAGTCTAAACCTCCTGGCAGCCGAGTCGTCAACAGGTTGGAGACAGTGCATACCTCTGTTGGAGAAAGGTGCTTCCTCGTTGAAGAAAGTGACTGAGGCGATCACTCGACTCAGCATGCAAGTTGGAGGTGGCGAAGAAGTTGTGCTTCAAGGCGACTCGGAGCCGGCCATCCAACAGATCCTCAACAGTGTGGTCGCTTGTAGGGCGTAGGGGAAAGCTCGGTCTTCGTACAAGGACAAAAGTGACACCACAAGGCTCTCATGCTTCCAATGGTCAAAGAAAGCAGTCAGCACTGTTCGCAGAGGAGCTCTTACCCTCAGGGTCCAATTGGAGGAAAGGACCAAGTGTGCTGTACAAGGACGCTTGCCCATATTTGCATGGCTCCTTCGTCATGCAGCCTTCGTCCACAACCGCTTCTTCGTTGGTTCGCGAGGCGGTCCTGCCTTCGAAGCGCCAACTCACCCTCTGGCAACGTGGGAGGTTTTTCCCCCTCATAGATCTCATCCTCGACTTCCTTCTCCAGGACTGTGTCTACATCTGAGAGCCACTCTTCCCAGCTTGCCCATTCTTCGATAGGAATGTCACCATGAACTTCATTGATTCCGGCAAAGCCGGGAGGGTAAAGGGTCTGTCAAGAAGTAGCCTTGCTCGCTTTCCTTGTGGGACTGGTAGCGCAGGCTGATCTTCCTCACGGACTGGTCGGGAACTTGTATCCATTGTTGAACACGGACTGGCCTTTGCTGTGGGAACTGCTTCTGCTTTCGCCTTTGCTGTGGGAATAGCTTCTACTTTCGCCTTTGCTGTGGGAACTGCTTCTGCTTTTCGCCTTTGCTGTGACAACTGTTTCTGCTTTCGCCTTTGCTGCGGGAACTGCTTTTGCTTTCGCCTCTTCTGTGGGAACTGCTTTTTGCTTTCGCCTGTTCTGTGGGAACTTCAATGGGACTTGGGCTTTCCACACTCAGGCTTGAGGAGCTTGATGTTTCATCCGAACCGGCTTCGTCCTGCACGGGTGGTCTTGGAGTGCCTGCAGCTATTGACTCAGCTGCAGCTCTACCAGCTGCTTTGGCCAGCTCCTCCAAGGAGGCTGAATCAGGCGTACGACCCGTGTAGAGCGGTCGCTTTCGCTTTGATTTGTTCCCATAGTCCCAAAGCAGACCACGGGCTGATACCACTCCATCGCTATCCCACTGGTTCTCCTCTGGAACTCTCCTCACTGACCTGCTTTCCACAGCTCCTTCAGGTGTCAAGAGCACATGGGCACCGTTCTTCTCTGAAAGACCAACCCAGATGCCCCTTTGCCACTGCAGATCGCCCTTGTACTTCGTGGGTTTGAAGAAGATGCATGACTCTCCAAAAGCCAACATCTGAGCTCGAAACTTTCGCCCTCGATAGAAAGGAGCTAGATCGGCTGGTGAGTATGGGTGTTCTGAGACTGCCGGAAAAAGGGGAGGACCTCGGGCCCAAGCTCGCGACCTGGAACTGGTCACCCTGGATATAAAGGATGCGTACTTGAATGTACCCCAGAAGAGTCCAGTCATCATCGAGGTGGATGCCCGGCTGCTTGGAGATGAAAGGTCTGGCAGCATCCCGTTCATCCTGGAGCGGCTCCTTCCTGGGCAGCGAATTGCAGCTTCCGAATGGTTTCAGTTCATGAAAAGCATGCTGGGGGAGGCGGGGATGAGCGGACTCATCAAGGAACCAACCCTCTTTAGAAGCGACAAGGTTGAGGAGGAGAAGGGCTTGGTTCTGCATGCCGACGACGCAATCCTGGCGACCACCGCTGAAGGGCGGAAAGAGCTGGTTGAAGCTTTGAGCAGAAGAGTGGTGGTGCAAGTGTCTGAGCCAATGCGGAATGTTGGCGATGAGCTTGAGTTCCTCAAGAGGAAGTACATCAAGACTTGCGAAGGGGTTGCAATGTTCAGCGGGGCAAAGCATCTGGATGGGCTGATAGAGGCTGTGGGAAGTGTGACGCCAAGGGACACTCCGGCAGATCAATCCTTCTCAGAGATAGACAAGAGCCCTTCCTTGAGCCCGAGCAAAGCAAAGATCTTCAGGGAATGCGTGGGAAGGCTTCTCTACCTGAGCCACACCCGGAGTGACATCCAATTTGCAGTATGTGTCTTGGCGAGTGATGTCCTACAAGTGGCTGCAGCGAGTCGTGGGCTACCTTGTCCGAACACCCAACATCGGGTTCCTAATCCGAAGCCCGAAGGCTCATGCTTGCCTGGGATTTCCCGGGGATGGTAGCCTGGAGGAAGGCGGCAAGTTGGTGCTCGAGTCAGTGACAGATGCTGATTGGGCTGGATGCAAGGCCTCAAGAAGGAGCAAAAGTTCAGTTCACCTTTATTGTGCTGGTGGGCTCTTGGCGAGCTACGTCAGGAGCCAAAGATCGATAGCTCTTTCCAGTGGCGAGTCGGAGTACATCGCTATGGTCAGTGGGGCTACCGAGCTTGTCTATTTGAAGGAGTGCCTTGTGTATCTCAGCAGGGGCCGCTTTGAAGTCGAAGCAATCATGAGGAGCGACAGCGCGGCAGCACGAGGCATCAGCCAGAGGATGGGATGTGGGCGAGTGAGACACTTGGACTGTGCCCTGATGTGGGTTCAGAATGCCATAAAGGAGAAGGCCTTGAAAGCCGGGCCAATAGCTGGAGTTCGCAATCCAGCTGACGTCGGCACAAAAGCTCTAAGTGGCCATTTTGCCAGTGCTACTTGTGCTTGGGTCAGATGGAGTCGACATCAGCGAGGGCTTGAGCCTTGCTATGGGGTTGAGCCTGGTAGAAGAAGCTGCAGTTTCCTCGATTTCGTCATGCGTTACAGTTGTTTTGGTTCTCTGCTTTTGGATTGGTGCAGCATGGATTTGTTTCCATCTTTTCCCAACTTCGATGAGCAGCAAGTCAAGAGCCAAAAACCAGAAGTGGGCTGCCAGGCAGATCGAGGAATGAGCCCAAGCGAGATGAAGTTTGCCGATGATCACATGGAAAGGTGCGAGTTCTTGACACGAGCAGTACGGGAAGAGCATCGCGTTGTGGAGCAGTGCGAGCAGGCTCTTCGTGATGTAAGGTCAGAAAACAGGAGGCGAGATTCACAGGGTGAGGGCTGAGAATGCCAGAGTGCTAAGAAGAGCATTCTACCCTGAATCTGTACAGATCACGAGACGAGGAACATCCTATCATGTTGAAGGATGCCCCTCCCTTGAGCATTCTACTGGTGTTATGACCTATCACCATTGCAGCCGCATTCGACAAGGGAGGTGAGAGTAGACGAGTAGCCATGCAGAATGCAGGGCAACTCGAGGCGGGGTGTAAGAACAGTTTGCACCCTGTTGAGCTTGACAATCATGTCCGACTGAAGCCCTCGAATGTTCAGAGAAAATCCTTGCAATTTTCAGAATTTGGCCGCTTTATTTTCAGAATAAGGCCGCTCGCTGTTTGATTTTCAGAATAAGGCCGCTCTATTTTCAGAATTTGGCCGCTTCATTTTCAGAATAAGGCCGCTTGATTTTCAGAATAAGGCCGCTTTTTTTTCTGAACATGGCCGCTGCGTTGTCAGAATAAGGCCGCTGTATTTTCAGAATGAGGCCGCTTTATTTTCGGCATAAGGCCGCTGTATTTCAGAACAAGGCCGCTTTATTTTCAGAATTTGGTCGCTTTATTTTCCCTTTTTTCTCAGAACAAGGCCCCTTTTTTTCAGAATAAGGCCCTTTTTGCTTTTTCAATGTTGTGGGATTCTCTGGGTGGGATTTGAGCCGTAAATACAGCTTTACCATAAAACTGCTCGACCTGGAGTGCTGAACCCTAAGCCCTAAGCCCTAAGCCCTAAGCCCTAAGCCTTAAACCCTAAACCCTAAACCCTAAGCCCTAAACCCTAAACGCTAAACCCTAAACCCTAAACCCTACACCCTAAACCTTAAAGCCTACCCTAAACCCTAAACCCTCGGCTGTTGTTTTTTTTGATCTTTTTCATTCTTTTGATCGGCAGCGCATGTTTCCACTCCCGGACTGCTCTTGTGCCCGAAGGCGATGCGTAAGCGTTCGTGTTTTCAGAGGTGTGGCTCCCAGTGTTGATACTGACGATGAAAGGGCCGGTGGGGTGGCGCGCCATCTTCGAAATGTTTAAGATAGGGGTCACGGGTTTATGTTGTCGCTTCGAATTCGTTTGATAGTCACAAGGATGGAAACATGTGGGATCCTCCATCATCTAGAAATTGTCTCCGTTGGGATTTGGTTTAGTGTTCATGTTATAGGGTTCTCGGTCTGTGCAGCGCGGCGGCGGCGGCCCGATTTGCATCAAAGTGCTTCTTGCTACGATATCTTGCAACGCCGCTCCTTTTTTTGTTTCTTTTTCGCGCCTCTTTTCCGCCGGCATGGTGGCTGTCCCGCTGGGCTATACTACGTACGCCGCCGGGGGTAGGCTGACTACCTGTATCGACGCTCGAGACCTCGTCGCCAACCACTATAGGGCTCGCGCTGGGCCTGCGAGCTCGAGCATTCGCTCAAGGGGCGGCTCATCTCTGACACGGCGGAGCGGCGGGCCAAGCCTGCCCCAGTGCCGTGCTGGCGACGGCCTGCTGCGCGGCTACCCCCACCAACGGCGTGACCAGCCCACGGCGGAGAGCGGGCGGCGGTTTCTGCGACTGGACGCGCAGAAGGTAGTGCACCTTCTGATCTCCATCAGCGGCGCCCAGCTGTGGGTGCCCTGTCCGCGCGAGCGGGGCGATGAGGGTGGCATCGCAGCATATCGCAGCACATCGTGCCTCCCCGCGGCATGGCGCCGTACGCGACTAGGTCGAGCCGTCCGCGATCATCGGCTGGCACCCCCGGTGCGGTAGTGTCCACTTGCCCATCAAATCCGACCACTTCGCTGCGGGCAACGTGGTGTGCCCAGGCTCGCTCGACGATCTGTTTTCGCGCATCGTGCAAACCCGTGCGGGCGCAGCGTTGTCCTCGTACTCATCGACTTGCTGGCCGCAACCAAGGTGTGGACCACAGCTGTTGGGGCTAAGCGGCAGGGGCAACCTCAAGAGGCGCGCAACGTGAACTGCATGGCGAGAGTGAGTGCTGGTTCGCTCGGCACTGCCAATAGCCAGTCACCAGCGACCGACCCGCCTCGCGAACACAGCAGGGATTGGGACGCTGGCTGCAAGGCTTGCAGCTCGCGCTCGCGATAGTAGAGGTTTTGAGTCCGTGGAACTGCCAGCCACACGGCCATTCCCGGGCCTTCATCACGGGGCTGTTGCGGCCGGGCGCCTGCGTAGGCAACAGCCTTCCGCATCGCATTGCTTCGGCTTCGTGTAAGCAGGGGATCGTGCCCTCCGCGCCCTGCTCCAGAGCCGCCTAGCTGCTGTCAGCCGCGCCGGGCAGTTGGGAACGGATAACAGGGAGCGCGTCCATCCACCTTGCCCAGCATGCTCCTGTGGCCGTTCACCCCGCTGATTGCAAGCCGAGCCTGCCGCGATGCAAGTGGCCAGGCTTGTGGCGGTTCCCAAACACTTTTGGAGAGTCCCCCAAACAACTTGGTCGTACGCCCGCGCGTAATATGCCGATTCGAAAGGCCGGAGCGTTTGCAAGGCGTGGTTGGCGTGGGGCGACGCGCAGAACAGCAGCAACAACCAGGCGCACTGGAGGTTCGGGAACACCCTGGTGAGCGGCGTTCTTCCTGAGGCTACGCGTCAGCCCATGTTTGGACGAAATCGGTGTGCCTACGGCTTGTCGCCCCGCCAGACATCCTCGCCCAAGTCGGCGATCCCGCATGGGAGGGCTCGACGTTCTACGCGATATGAAGAGCAGGAGGACTTGAGGCTGAGATCCGGATGGACGGAAAGTATCTGGAGAGATTGGAAGAGCTTTTAGGGCTCGGAATAGCACATCCAAAGAAACTCCCGTTTCCAACAGACTATGGGAGATCGATGAAAAATGAGACCCCGCTGAACGCGGAAGAGCACCATCTGTATAGGTCTTGTGTGGGGATCCTGTTGTACATGACCCCCGAGCGACCCGACCTAGGGTTTGCGACGAAGTGGCTGTCTGGAAAGTTGGCGACACCGACGAGAGGTGACCTCGCAGTGTTGAGGCATGTGGCAAAGTATGTGAAAAGCTACGTCACACTATGTGATCGAACACATGGAGTCGCACCCTGGGAAGATTGCGGCAATGGACCGGCAGCAAACTCCCGTGTGAGGTCGGGTGCTACTGTGCGTGCAGCACTTGGTGAGGTTGGCTTCATTTTGAACGCCGAAAAGGCATGCAGGAGGCTACTAGAAGTTCCTTTGAGAAGTACCCCGTTATCTGCCTGTAAAAAGAAAGGGGTGATGCTGGCATGAATGATGGTTCCCTCGACCTTAGCCGCCTATAGGAGGCACGCTTTTGCCACTTGCAGGATGATGTAGACAAGGACAGCGAGTCCTCACGGTGCAGTCCGCGTGGTTGGAAGCTCCGTGCCCTGCCCCCCCGCATGGCTTTGTTCCAGCCACCCGGTGAGTCCTGCACCCCATCGGCTGAACTCGACCGATTTTCCGTGTGCGGCCGCAAGCCCTCGTAAACCTAGCACTACAGGGGCCTCACGGCTGGCAAGTGGCTGCACGTCATCGGGAGGCTGCCCGCCTTCACCCCGCTGATTGCAAGCCGAGCCTGCCGCGATGCAAGTGGCCAGGCTTGTGGCGGTTCCCAAACACTTTTGGAGAGTCCCCCAAACAGCTTGGTCGTGCGCCCGCGCGTAATAGGCCGATTCGAAAGGCGGGAGCGTTTGCAAGGTGTGGTTGGCGTGGGGCGACGCGCAGAACAGCAGCAAGAACCAGGCGCACTGGAGGTTCGGGAACGCCCTGGTGAGCGGCGTTCTTCCTGAGGCTACGCGTCCAGCGGCCTCCGAGCGAGCACGGTCAGGCGGGAGCGGGCAGAACGGCAGAGCAAACCCCCGATGACCACTATGATTTGTCAACATCTTCATGCGCATCATCGCTTTGGGGGTTGCAATTGCTTTCCAAACGAGCGGCGCAGTATCCGTGTTTGTTTCTCGGCAGCCAAAAGAGCGTTGAAGGAAAAAAACAATTGTTCATGCAAACTTGTTATGGATGCGCCCGCAAGATGGCTATTGTTGCTGCGCTCATTTCAGCTTGTGTGTTGGTAACTTCCTGAGTGCTCGGTGCGCTTGATGCTCGTGCATGAGGCTGAGCAGGTTTTTTTGTTGAGATCCAGCATGGGCTTTTTTGTCGGGGGCACCTTCCGGAACTCTTTAGAACGGTAAATGCAACCCTCGTATCTCCCCTCACGGCTGCAGGGGTCCCCGGCCGAGAAGGTGGCAGCGCTGTCGAGGCGGCACTCCGCATCGCGCGCCGCGCGAAGCTCCGCACCTACCCCGAGTTCGCTCGCGCCTCCCGGTGCCGTCTGGCCGTCATCACTACTGAGGTTGGTGAAAAGTGGAGCCTTGAAGCAGCCCGCTTGCTGGCGCGTGCGTTGCCGTGCCCGCTCTGTGCCACTGTCCAGCCGTCCCGCCGCCATTTTTGCTTTTGCCCAGCGGCGGTCAGCCCTGCTCGCTTTGGCCGCTGCGCGTGCTGTCGCTCCCCATCGCTGGATCAGGCAAGATTGAGGGGGACCCCCAACCCAAAACAAACTTCTGCGATGTATATGTGCATAAAAGAATGGAATCCCAAAAAGCCTGGGTCCAAGGCATGGGATCGGTATGGGAAGTACAAGACAGCAACGACGATCGGGGAAGCGACCATCTTCGGCGCGCAGTGGCAAGACATTAGTGCTGACTTCCTTTGTTTTTTTCTGGGGCTTTTTTCCTCCTGTCCACGCGATCCCTGTGCAGTGGCGCCGTAGCCAGGGTGCAGCCGAGTCACGGCATGCAGCTGGCGAGGGGCGGGAGCAGGGAGGAATCAGCAAGGAGTTCGCTGAGCTCCTTTGACAGCGGCATGACCCGACAACCTGCCTTCGACAAATCGATCATTTCAGGACCATCGCGGCTACGTCGATTTTCATGTCAGCAACTCGAACGTTCCGCGCTGCCCGCACTTCGGCCTGTCGCGAGGCCTGTCGCGAGCAAAAGCATGAGGGCCCGGGAGGCAAGGAAACCGGACATGGCACAGCGAGAGGTGGTCACCAG